ATTGGTGTGCTGTTGTATCAGTGTGTTGTTGTATCAATGAATTGGTGTGCTGTTGTATCAGTGTGTTGTTGTATCAATGTATCGGTGTGCTGTTGTAATTTAGTCGATATCACTCAAGTGAATCAACCTACATATGAATACACAGGAGACATCAAATACACAAGAAACATGTTAGTCATTTGTTCATCAATGCTATGACTATCAATGACTAACATGTTTCTTGCGTATTTGATGTCTCCTGTGTATTCATATATAGATTGATTCACTTGAGTGATATCGACTAAATAGGCACTAAATTGCGACTATTAGTTATAATAACTATTTTGTTTTTATTTCACGGATTAAGTACCATCGCTCTAACCCATTTATCCTATTTAAAAWTTTCTGTTTGTTTTCAGCCAATAAAAATTGAAATAGTGAGTAAAATGAATTATTGTATCGAAGAGCAAGCCAGTAAAGGAAGGGATAGAAAGGTATGTAGTAGGGTCTGATCTAGTAGGTGTCTAATAGAGGAAAAGGGACATAAAGCTCAGTTATTATACGCGTGCGTGAAAAAAAGTCTTCTTAACTTAACTCTACTAAAACTATCAGCTAAATGCAAACTTAGTAAATATAAAGAAAAATAACAGCATTAGGCTGATTCAGAATTCACACATTAATATTTACTCTGCATGTTTTTAAAACCTTGAATACAGTCAATTCAAAAAACGTTGTCGTCATGGGTAAAAATCACTGAAGCGGTTAAGTATTCGTTCTGAATCAATTGTTCCCGCTAGTAATAAGATAATAATGGCGAGAAACAATCCAATAAATGCATGTCTTTGGGTTTAGCGAAAGAAAAACCAAGTAGTTATGATTCCGTTCAATTTCCGAAAATATGAAGGCATTAAAAAAACGTCCCCTTCATAGTTGCTGGTTCAATACCTCCATGCATCCAATAAAATTAATAGTTCTGGTTGAGTGATATTTACAAAAACTCCCAACAAATCAATTACTATAATAGAGGTTTTGTATCAACCACGGAATACTTTTATCTTAGATCGGAGATAATTCTCCATCATCAGGGTATTAAAAATAATAATAGAGCGCGAGGTAAATTCATAAGGCAGTAACTAGGTGAAAAAACAGAAACAAACGGTCCAACATACGAATACTTGCGCGTTTTTGTGCTGGGCCTATGGGCACAGTACATTTGTTTTTGGTGAGTTAGGTATGATCGGAATTTAGTGTTACGAATGCCATTGGTGGACCTCTTCATGATTGACTGACATTGGTGAAACACGAGCTGAAAATGCACGTTGAGATCTGTAAGATCGGGATASGGTGCGTCATTGATATGTAAAATAGTACTCGCACGAGTTTTATATTATTTTATTAGTAAGAAAAATGATATTTGGTTTGATTAGCAAAACATAATTATTTTTAGTCGAATATTCTTATGACAAAAACGTATTTCATGCCGTAAGCTTGAATGGGGGCGGGCCAGGAATTTCTACTGCGTCATTGATCTAAAATAGTACTATTGGTATTTACTAAAACAAGGAACGACCTAAAACCACCTGAAACCACCTAAAACCACCTGAAAC